ATATATATATATATATATATTACTATTGCTAGGGCTATATATATTTTCATATTTTTTTTGAGTTGTATTTATATTATGATATTAATAATAATTGAGATGAGTTATCGGATTGTTAATTACAATTCGAACTGATACGTGTCGGAAGGTTCACGATGATATAGTAATAAATTATTGTGTTAATGTAGCACAACAATCTAATAACGAGCACAGATAAAAGAAGAGTAGCAGGAGGATAAACATAGACGTGCTATGTGAAAGCTCATGAAAAATGGAAAAGACTACGAGACAATTATCAGTTATGTAATGATGAGTACACATATCAAACTCTTCTCCTGAATTAGAGAAGGTGAAATAACGAAGCTGATGTACAACGATATTTCAAAAACAATAGTCGCAACGGACCACGAAAGTCATAATCGATTGTCATGAATGTAATAGTCTGTCATGAATGTTATAAATAGTGGCTATAGTGTCAGCTTGTCGTAAATGCCGCAGTCAAAAGATGGGGTAGCAGTTAGTCATGCAAGTTGTAGGTGGTAGCTTCAAGAGTGTCTGTTGGCCACAAGGATTATAGTTGAGAGTTTTGATAGTGTTTGTAGACTACAAAGGGCGAAGTTGAGAGTTGCATGAGTTATGAACTAAGTATGTCTCGGTTGGTCACATAGACCATAATGGGGAGCTGTAATAATGTCTGTATGTCTTAGTGGCAGAAGTTAGGAGCTTCATGAGTCATGAGCCACTCATGTTGTCATTAGTCACATATGCTATAGTGGGGGGCTATAATAACATCCGTAGGCTGCAAAGGCTTGGGTTGAGAGCTACATGAGCTGTGACCCACTTATACTGTAATTGGTCATATAAGCCAAAATAACGGGCTTTGATAAGGTTTATCTGCCTTAGATGCTGGAGATATGAGTTGCATGAGCTGTGGATCACGTAGGTCATAGTTGGTCAGATAGGTCGTAGTAGTAACATGCAATGAGAGAACTTCAAGAGTTCAAAAAAAGTCAATTTACTCTAAGTACGGTGGTTGTAAGCTATTCTTACAAAATATTCAGGGCACGTCATTGCACTGTATTCAGGGTGCATTGTTATTTTATGCTCAGTGTGTCATTACACCTTCTTTGAGATGTGTCATTGCTCCATATGCAGAGCACATCTTTATTTCATATATATATTACGTTGTTATACCTTCTTCGAGGTGCATTGTTATACCATGTTCAGGATGATGCACTGCTCCGTAGGGTGTTTCATATTCTGTAGCGTATGTCATTGCATCACAAGGGCTTTTATTACAACGAACATGGGCCGAACAACATTGATCAATGACAACCAAAGAGTGTTGGTTGAAGATGGTCAGCGTTTGTGGGAGTGAGAAGAGTTCATTAGGTATGTAGTCCAAAACCACACTGAAAATCAACTCATTCTCTTACAAGTCCATCTCTTCCTCCCCCATTTCTTGAA